CACATTAGTGTTTCTAAGTTACTTAGTAAAAAATATATTTTTGACCTGCTTAACTGGAGCTAAGTTGCCAATGTTCCCGACACATGAATATAAAAGACATTAATTGACCATCTATCTAAAATACTACTAATCATTAATTGTCTACAATTAAATGGAAACGTTCATTATGAGAAAACTGGTAGAATCAATAGTTCCATGCTCTACTCCTGCGAAACGGAATACTTTGCATTTCGAACTAAACATCCAACTACTTTAAGCAATTTTCATATTCTCCAGAAAGATAAAATATTGGAGAAAAACTGTCGTTTTTTATGCTTATGCGTGAAATTTAAGTGATCATAGATAGTCATCCAAGCCTTGAATAAGACACTCATCAACTGGTCCTTACATTTTATTAGAATTTCAGTCTTTGTCACATTGTGATGAAAAAAATCTTCAAATTGACAAAAGACTATCCAAACATTCATAGGTTTTTGTAAAGTAGCTAGAACAAAAATACAATCAAATTACAACTATCGTATTTATGGTTAAACATTATCAAGTAGATATACGGATATTATTCATTAGATTATTCATAGTGAAGAAAAACAACAACGATTCTATGTGATTCTAACATGTTTAATATAGTATCCCGTTATGGTGTGGGTTACTTATATCCACACAAGTAGTATATAACGATGGTCAGGCATAGAATATATTTCAGTAGGTCAATGAAAAATGAACGGGAACGGAATGCAATTGATATGAAAACACATGAACAATAGAATCTGAGACAATAGATCTATGTTTGCAACAGGAACAGTCAAGTTTCAGATGATGGATTGATATTTTGCAAATTAACGATTTATTATATAATTCTCAGATTTTATTGAGATGCTTTGTAATTTCGTGTCAAATATATTCGATTGTCCCCACTTGTGTTCGGGTTTACTACATTATTATTTGTTTATTTCATATGACGTTTATAAAGAGAACTTTTAAGAAATGAAATACTTTTTCACTTGAACTCTTATCTATATATTATTCATAAATCCCATAGTTACTTAAACAGTAAGAGTGAATAGATCTAGAACTACCATTGATCAACACATTTATCCTATGTAGTAATAGGAACACAGCTTTTTGTTAATCTCATATGTTTATAATTATATCAAACATTTATATATTACTAACAATCCCAATACATTTTACCCTGGTTAATACATTGATTATTAGTTAAATGGAAAAGTAAATGTTTTTTTAAATTATATTGTTTACTTGAACAAAATATCTTCAATAATATTAGATAACTTTAGTTATATAAAAGGATTCATCAATATATATATATACATAGACATAAACCTTTTACTTTACATTACATAACTTGGTAACATTTTTTATGCTTGTGTTTTAACCAAAAGTCACAATAGGATTCATTTTTAGTTTTTATTTGAATTTTTATCATGAAGATAATAGAATTTCTATGGGATATATTTTGTGATAAAGAAAAAACAACGTTGTTTCTCCTCCCTTCCCCCCCCCCTCAGTTTTTCATCTTGTAAGCTGATTGAAAGTTGAATGAACTAAATAAAAATCTTATTATGAAGATTATAATGTAAAAAGTAAAATATAAACTAATGGATAATATATACATATTGAAAATCACTTTAAGAAATGGCAAGGAATAGTTCAACTATCTATCATCCCATTCTTTCTATAATATTTAGTTTATGGGTTAATAAAATGAAAACATATGTCCACAATGTCTTGATCCATTTTAAGAAATAGAATTAAACTAACTTTACAATCAATTTCAATCGGTATGTTGTTGTACTTTTGTTTTTTTTTTCGAAAACGCCATAATACATGTCACTTACTTATTGAACATTAAACATACAAGATACAATAAAGTTTTAAATGAACAATTTAAACAGTAAATAAAAAGATGGATATTGATTAGTAGGAAAATTCAGAACGTGTATTTTGTCCTATTTGAGACTCATTAGTTGGATATATTTGCATCTCAAGTTTGATGCTCAGTATGATACAATACAAAGTCAAAGTAAATAAAAATGTATGAATTTTGTCTATTAAAATGAATCAATTATCATTTCAATTTCCACTTTATCATTAATACATTATTATACGTTATAATTAAAAAACATTACCAAGCTTTATATTTGAATTTCTATTTAAAGAGAGCAAAAACAAAGATTGATGTAGAATAATATGAATTCAGTTTATTTCGTTAGGTTCTCATCAGGTGCTTACAATCTAAAATACTTAAAATGCAATATTATTACAGATATTGACATACTTATACATAAGAGGGTGATTAAAGATGAATATATGTATCATGATGTAGCGAAGATCCCGATAGAGTTAATGAGGTCATAAAATTTTGTTTCGAATAAATAGAGTTTGAGAGGGAAAGTTCCAGAACGTTGAAATAACGATTAGAATTCATGGAATTAAAAAAAAACACATTAGACGATTATGTAATGAAGTAACTGAAAATAGAATAATGGTAATAAAGATATGAATTGAAATCATTCAGTTATGAATGATGTAATTTAAACTTAAAAAAGAGTTGGAATAATGAATGAAGTAATCCAGTAATTCCGTGTTACACTTGGCCGATTGCTGACACTGCGTACGCTTGCCTACTAAATCCACGATGTGTTGGTCCATGAGGAGCCAATAAGCATAGCTTCTGGCGATAGATTTCATTCGTTTTATACCAGAATGACCAGTGTGGAATTGCTTTAGCACCCTTGATTTTAGGGACTCTTACACCACTACTCTATCTCCAGACATCAAGCATTCATTTACGACACATAATGAGTCCCGACGGTGGTAAAGCTGCTTCAAGTTACCATCGAGTCCAGTTGACATCCAGCCATTGGTGAAGTATTTCATCGCTCTCTTTATGATGGAGTCGTTCTTGGATGCAGATTGTATTTCAACTGCTGAGACTGGCAAAGCACGAATAGCGGTTCTCAGGTAAAATTTCGCTTGGTCCTCTGTCATTAGGGAGGCAATAACTACATCTTCGCCGGTCGTATGGTGTTCGCTGGTAAGTCGTGACAAGGCGTCAGCATGGCCAAAATGTTGGGTGCATCGGTACTGAAGGTTTAGATCATAACCCAAAAATATCAAATCTCATCGCTAGAAATGGTTTGCAGAAAGGGCTGAAACACCAGATTTCGGACCGAAAATTGTGAAAAGATGCTTGTGATCAGTGAGAAAAGTAAATTATCGACCGTACAATAGTTTGTGGAAACGGCGTACTGCAAACACAAGGGCGAGAGCCTCTCCTTCTATTTGACTGTGCTTTCCGCTGAAGTTAATGTGCGAGATGCGTGCATAATAGCTTTCTCTCTCGAGTCCGAGAACTGATGTGAGATGACAGCACCGAGTGCGAAAGCTGAAGCGTCCTCAGCGACAAGGATAGACATGGACGGATCGTAGTGTGTTAGTAACAGTTCAGAGCTTATGATTGTTTTTTTAGCTTGCAAAATGCAGCTTCAAATTCTTTTGTCCAGTTCCAGCTGGTATTCTTATTCGCAATATGACTTGGCGAGGCGCATATGTCATGCATCGACGAAACAAAAGCTGAGTAGTAGCTAATTAATCCCAGGAATGATCGTAGCTCAAGGATATTAGTGGGAGTTGGCATCAGGTTTATAGCTCGGATGTTTTCAGGATCTGGTGTGCGACCTGAGGCATCAAATATGAATCCCAAGTATTTAACTGACTTCAAGAAAAGCTGGCATTTTTCTGGGCGTAATCTGAATCTGTTATCGCTGACGCGTTGTAGTACAGCTGTTGCGCGTTCTTGAAGCTGTTCTAACGATGTGGCAACAATTAAGATATAATCGAGATATGTTGCGGCCCACGGGATAACCGATAGAATGGTATCCATTAGTTGCAGAAAAATAGATGGAGCTGTTTAAAAACCAAATGGTAGGCAACTGTACTGGACCAAGGCATCAGCGAGATCCAGCTTTGCAAAGAACTTCCCATAATTTAACATCGTGAACAAATCTGCAGAGACTGGCAGTGAGTAATAATGTTGTTCGAAAGCTGCGTTAAGACCTTTGGAAAAATCTGCGCATATTCGGATTGTGCCATTAAACTTCTTAATAACCACAATAGGTGCTGCTTAGACAAAATAAGAAACAGGTGCTCTCTTTAAAATACAGTTAATAAATTAGAGATGTATAACAGTCTATATTCTCTTTAAAAAATTTATAATAAAATGAAATGTTACTTAGATTAAACAAAATACTACTGAATATTTGATTTATAAGTAAAATGTATTATTATTGTTAAATCAATGTTAAACACCTCCTTAATGATCTACTATACATTTTGTGATTACGATAAATCTATTTAAAGAAAATCAAGAGCAATGCAAAAAAACAAGTTTCAATATCATCTATTACTTTTCGATTTGAATGAGTTGATTGTAATAGAAAGTTATGTGAATAGTATTATATAAGTAATATATAAGTAATATAAGTAATGCATAGTTTGGTTATTTCTGTTGCCATACCGCTTACAAGAGATGAATTTTCATTTCAATAATGTATCTTAATTAAGCACAATGAAGAATTTTCAATGAAATATTCTTTTAAATATCCATCTCATTAATTTTTGTGTTGCAACATGAAAGCGATTGCAATTTTGAGGCAAAACGAAGTATATATACTAAATGAATAATATTTCAAACAGTAGAGAAGAAAGCTTACTTTTTCTCAAAGTTAAGTATAACTTTAATTATTTAAGTTTCCTGACAAAAATGATTTGTTAATCAATAGTTTTTTAACTGAAGATTTGTTGAAATGACAGTATGACTGTACTGTTTTATGAGAAAGAAAACATTGACTTTATGAGTTAACAGTACATTCATAACATTGAATAATGCATAATTTTAGTCGACATTATTATGTAACTATTGTAATAACTTAATGAATTCACTTGTATTCTTTTCCGATTTTTTTATGTCTGAATAACAGAAGATGATATTTCAATGGCTGGTGGTGACAGAAACTCTGAACCTACAATTGTACTGAATCCAGGAGATCCTGGACCATTAGATGTGAATTTTGGAGAATTGCTTTATTCTCGTTGTTCAGTACTTGATAGTAATCAATATTCATACAGATGGATACAACGTGCACCTGATGGGACTCTAAAAGAAATATCTTCTGACGCTAGACTTTATATAACGAATTTTGGACCGGAACATTTACAGTATCCATTACGATGTGAAGTTACGCGATTATCAGATGATGAAACTTTTGAGAAAGTTTTAAATCTTCGACTAGGTAAGTTAAACGTTATTTCATTATTATAAGTTATTTATATATCACTTATTCAAGATGGTTTATAAAATAATTTCAACTATGTTTTAATTAGGTTTTCCTTAATTCAAGTAATTTGGCTGGAAATGACACCTGTGAACCTGTATAACTTGCGAATCGACTTAAAATTCTCCTTATTCATTAAGTTGCTCAGAATATATGAAAATGAAATCAGTATAATGATGAACTTTATCACAATGTTATCAATCGATATGTATTCAAAATGTTTTTTTAACAAATAATCATTTTCAGAAGGGGTTTTGTTAGAACTTTAATAATTTAATAATTCAATTCATGAGTCAATTAAAGCTAGACCACCATGAAAAACCTAGAAGCACTAGACGGCAGTTTCATTCTAATATGAGACTCCTCAGCACTTCCCAACAGTGCTCCGCATGTGGTATTCGAACTCAGAACTTATTGATATTGCGCGTGAAAGCTTCACTTATAAACCATTAAGTTAATCGGTATCCAATGGTCGTCTAGTGCTTCCAGGTTTTCCATGATGTTCTAGCTTTAAATAACTCATGAATTGAACTATCAAATAATTATCCACTATTTAATCACATTGTAATTACTCCTCAAAGCTGATTATCTAATTTACATTAGTTCATTAATATAAAAACATATTTTTTTCAACAACAACAAGAACAACAACAAATAAGTATTTCTATATTATTATTTTATAGAAAATTAGGTTAGAAGGTTATATTACAATTGTATATACATACAATTTATATAAACTACATTAAAGTAGATGTGTTCATTTTGTTTACTATGAATTTAAATAAACATCAACAAAATATTGGGTATATCATAATCAACTATAAAAATTATAATGTTTCATAAATAATCATTATTTTAAACTATCATACATTTAATGGAATAGTTTCACTGTATTTAGATACCAAGATTAATGTAAGACTTTAAAGAGGAAGAAATGTATTTATAAAATCTCATGAAATAAATTTTGAAGTAAATTCAACATTTCGCCTAGTAATCCCTTTTTTTCTTTGAAAAAGCATGGATCAGATTGTTAGATGAAATGTTGACTTTAGTTTAAATTCATTCGCTAAACATTTACAAATACATTCTTTCTCTTTAATCTTATATTTAATCAATAGTATATATAGTAGTATATATATATATATAGCTTTGATGATTTTGATTGTTACTCTGAAGAAGTCCAGACAAGTTAGCTAGACGAAACGTTGGAATTATTTAAATTTCAATCGCTAAGATCATTTCAAATATAATTTTCACATATAATGGTATATATACAGTAATGTTTTTTTTCTTAAAATCAAAAATAAACAACAAACTTTATAGACAAACAGTAATATGCATAGTAACAACCAATATAGTACTAACAAAATAGTTGAACTGAATAACTTTCTTATTATTATTTACAATATATACTAACATCAAATGAATGTTTTCGTTTACTATCAACATTTTCTAATGTTTGTTTTGAAAAAACAAAATTGTTTTCTTTATCATGTGAATGTTCTAAGAAGAAATATGTATATATACATACATTTATTCATTTAGGCAAAAGATGATAATCATCCCCTATACACATATTTCATTCATTTGTGATGTTACTAACTGCATGTAGATCGCATGAAATTAATTTTACTAAATTTGAAAAGAAAAAAAGAACCATTGAAAGTACCAGATCATGAATTTGGTTGACAATTCTTTCTTTCATTTGTCATCATAACTATTACTAATTTATCATGCATTTATCATCATTTTATAATAATAATAATAATTAAAAGAATTATTTTTTGATATTAGAATGTATTTTATTAATTATCCAGCATCATCAGGTGAACTAAGTACTGATGATGAATATAAAACATTAAATTTAACTATCAAACCATTACCAAATGAAGATTTTCGTCAAGGAACTATAATGAGACAATGTTTATTTGAAAATGATCCTGAAATCAATGAATTATTTGATTTTCGTTGGATTGATCAAAATGGTCGTATTGTAACCAATGGTGATACATTGTATTTATTGGTGGGTTATCTATTATAATACAGTTTCTTTTTTCATTACTTTACATGTATATTTCATTAAAACAAATAAATAAAAAGTTTCTTTTCTTTTCAGTGTTTACTTTCACTAGAAAATAGATGATTCAAATTTTGGTACAGCTAAACATTCTATGAAAATAACAATAGTTGATATCATGAATCAATGAAAGCTAAATCACTATGGGAAATCTCAAAGCACTGGATGAATGTTACGTTCTACTGTGGAACTGAATAAATAATATAAGAAAAGTCAAAATAGTTTAATATATTCGGTTAATTTTAAAATGAACTAAATTTCATACTGTATAACATAAAATTTTTATTTTGGTAATTCACAAAACGGGTAACAATAAGTCAATTGTTGCTTGATACATTTAAGCTGATTTTCCAGAAAACATCAATAGTTACATAAAACGTCACTTACATCTATCATTTAAATAATTCGTTGTTTTCAAGTTAACTAAAGTTTAAAAAAAGATAAATGGTGCGAATTTTGTCCCTTTAAAAAAGAAACGGAGGAAATGTAACGGTTACATTTTTATCCTGAAAATTCTATTTAGAAATAAACGGATTCAGTTATTATTATATTTATGATCATTATACTGTGAACAGTTAGTTGATACATCTCGTGATATCCACATTGATATTAGTCAACTTCACAATTTCAAATTTGACGATAGAGCTATTTGAGTCATGATTGGTTTCTATTTATATTACCATGAATTATAGTACACACAATGTCAATTCATTTCTCATATTTGTTTTAATGTAACTTGATCGATAGAATTCAATCACTACTAAAGGAACTAGATATACATAACATTAATCCCTACTCGGTGATCAATCAATTATAAATTAGTGCTCTGTCAGCTTCTATACACTGAGATCACTGACAGATTATTGTTAAGAGCGGTCAATCAAGTATATTTAAATTTCTGGTTTACACCTTTTTGAAAGTTATTCAGATCATATACATTTTACTACAAGCAAGATGTCGTATTTTAAATGGATAAAACAACTCAACTCAAATTCGAAGGTGATGATGTCACAAGATCAGTCAATATGAGACTGAAAACTGCATTGACAAGAACCTATCCTGCAGCAAATTGATTGTCCTGTCCAAAATAACATGTCCTTTGACACGGTCAAAGATCGACAGGTATCCCTTTCATTTTATCACCAACTGTGTATACAAATTCACATGTATCTGCCAAAGCAGTTACATTGGTAAAATAGAAAGGAGAGCCTATGTCCGATTCAAAGAACATATCCCGAAAATGGACTGAAAGCATTCAACAGTATCATCGCAAGACATCTCCTTGATACAGGACACGAAGTCGATACACTGAATTCCTTCAAGGTGATTAATAAACAATCAAGCTCCAACCTTCTGAAATTTCCCAAAGTAATAGCAATCAAACGTCTAAAACCAGATCTATGTATATAAAAATAGACAGCAATAAATCTTTCTCTATCCTGGTAACAATACCTCCCATTGTTGTTAATTTATTTCTATTTATTTATTTATTGCGTCATCATTCCAACTCTTTCTGAAATTTAAATTACATTATACATAACTAATAGATTTCAATTCCTATTTTCTTTATTATCATTAATCTTTTTTCATGAGTTCTAATCACTATTTCGATGTTCTGGAACTTTCCTTCTCAAACTCTATTTATTCGAAACAAAATTTTATGACCTCATTAACTCTATCAGGATCTTCGCTACATCATGATACATATATTCATCCTTAATCGCCCTCTTATGTATAAGTATGTCAATATTTGTAATAATGTTGAATTTTAAGTATTTTAGATTGTAAGCAGCTGATGAGAACCTAACGAATATACTATTCAACATCAATCTTTGTTTTTGCTCTCTTTAAGATAATAAAGGGAACTATGTCTATGAAATAAAACAACAATAATATTATACAAAAAGCTGTTAAGCTGACAATATTCGTAACATCATATTATTTTTTTGTTTTCCAATGCGTTAAATTAACCTGTTACTAAAATCTGTCTTGCATAAATTAGTTTGCATGATTAACATTATTATGAAATGATATTGCTTGCTTCATTGTTCTAATTATTACATATTCTATTATTATTTAGTGTATTTCTATAATTACTAAATTAGTTAATTTTACTAACCAAAATATTTAACCCATTTATTTTTGGTTTTTTTCCCTACAACAATCATCATTATTGTCCTCATGTATTCGGTGATCATCTCCTCTCATTTCATTCATCTTAACTGTTAATACTGTATTCATCATCATTATCATCATCATTATCATTCATTCACTCGCTATATCATACGTTTATTGAAATCTATCGTCATAACAATCTATTATAATCCATCGAAAAACAAATAAAAATCATTACATTATCATTAAAAAAAATCGTATTAAAGATTGAAGATCCGAGTGAATTGAGCAATTATACATGTGAAGCAACCAATCGTCAAACAGGTGTAATTTATCAAGCCAAATACCGTGTATCTATGCTGAACGGTCAACAAGGTATGATGTAATAAATAAATGACGTGTGAAGACATCTAATCAAAGCTATTGAGTATTTATCAAGTGATAAATAAGAATAAAAACTGATTTTACTTATTTTTTTTATGAAGATGTAATAATTTAATAAAGTTTAATTTGGAGTCTATGATTAAATATACAATTTAGAAAGTAAAAGAAATTCTAGTATCATTTTAAATGTTATAAGTAGTAATGTGTTTGTTCACTAAACTACCAATTAACAAGTTTATCAATATGCTTATCAATAAGCCTTTGAATAAATAATTTCATATTACTCTTTGAATGGAATTAGCTGACATTTATTTATTTTTATTTATTTATAAGGAACACATAAACATTAGTACAAGGAAACATTAAGTATATATATGCTACACAAATCATTCGATTTGTTTAAGGGTTGGAATACTCCCTGGGAGCAAAAATCAAAGCAGGTGGTTTTCTTAGAGGGCCACACCATTGACATAATATTAGTTACTTTCAAAATAAGTATTCAGTACTAATTGAATTGCTTCTTAGAAGCCGTAAATATCACTTAAACAAATCGTAGTTAAAATTGGCTAAATAATCTGATTTGTGCTCTGACTTTAGGTGATAAACTGATGAGTTATTGTTAGTCTCAGATTTTCACTTCATAGACTTAAATCAGATAATATATGATGTATATGTGAATATCTATTTCTCATTGTCATATCCCATCAGTTGAGAAATTAAACTAAATTCAAACTTTAAACATATTAAAACCAAAATTCAATAATAAAAATCTAATATTCTATAGTTGAGTACATTTCAAAAGTCATTTGCAAACTATTATATTAAATCAAATCAAAACAAACCTCATTTATCTAAAGACATATTACGAGTCGACTGAATACCATTACGTAATCATCTATAACAGAAATTTTTCTGTACCAGTACTTATTGTTTGTTCATCAAAATATGAAATTTATTTTAAAACAAATACTAGGCTATCAAAGAGTAAATTTAATCATAAAATTCGAAATAATCGGTTATCCATCGTTTAACACTAATGAATAATAGTTTATTTCATTTATATAAATGATATTCAAAATAATAATTGTAAAGATTTACCTTAAACAACTAATATTTTCCACATAATAATCTATTTTACCATAAAATATCTATATTACTAATCATTTATAAGATGATACATATTTATGGTTTCTTCACTATTATCAGTTTACTTGTTATGCATGAAACATTATTAACCTACATCAGTCAAAACTACATATATATTCAATGTTCATCAATTCTGTTCTAAACTGTTTCAAGTGTGAGTTATTATTGTCACTGTATACTAATCAAAATTGTTATCAAATCATTATAGCAATAACCATCCTCCTCACAATCCTGATTGCTATTTCTGCTGTTGTCATGTTTATTATCACTGTTTTTTTAAATTGTTATTGTATACATCAATAATATTTTCCCTAAAACTACAATTTCAAGTCTGTAACCGATCAATTCAAAATTATGTTTTTTGCTTTTCTTCTTCAAACTACCTTTTTTTTTAAAAAATTCATCTCTTATCCATTAGCATTTTATCCGATTACACACAGACAGGAACATTCACAAGAATATCCTGTATAGGAAGAAGAAGAAGAAGAAAATAACAAATTTATGAGCGTTTTTCTTTTTCTTTTTACTTCAAATGATGGTGATTATATCACAATAAAAATAGTTAGTATTATTATTATTTGCAAAATTACATTTTTGCTGATTCATCATCAACTAGTTCATAAGTAGGCAGTAACTGGTACGTTAATTTTTCCCAGTCAAAAAATCATAATCATTATTCCATGTTAGGTGTTTAGTATTCAGTAGATACATATATATATAGATAGATAATCCATAATATATAATAATATGTTAAAGTATAAAACAAGTCAATTTACGCTGTCTAGGTTTCAAGTAGTTATGTATTCAACTGCTTCGCAACATAACACATACATATTCACACAAAATATACTATTCATTCAATAAACACAATCAAGTCGATTATATATATGTTCATTTTAAGAAAGGCAAATCTTGCACAAAGCTGATTAATCATTTAAAACAAACAATAATGTCAACTGTTACGTTTCGTCATGTTAATAAAAACTAAAACCAAAGAAAACAGAAAAAGAAATCTATTCATTTTATTCCTGATTTATATTTCATATTTTCCACTAGACTGTGGATAATAGTGAATTATTTAACTATTTATTGATTAATTTTATTTAGTAAAACGACAATTTTCACAGATTGAAATCATGAGTCAATTGAAGCTAGACCACCAAGGAAAACCTGGAAGCACTGGATGACCGTTTCGCCCTAGTATCGAACTCCTCAGTAGTCCACACCCACTATCCCGCGCAAAGCGAGATTCGAACCCAAGACCTATCATTCTTGCGCCAAGCGCTTAACCAATTAGGTCATTGAGCTGGCATCCAAGTTTTCCATGGTGGTCTAACTGCAATTGACTCATGATTTCAATCTGTGAAATTTCTTAAATCTCCACAAACCCCTTTGTGACAATTTTAAACCAATAAAAAGAAGAAAAAGAAAAAAAGAAACAAAACAATATAAGAAAAACAACAAGTTAAATCATCATTCATATAAAATATCCATGTATTATATTCTGTAATGTAAAAATAATTCTAATCTATAGTAGTTACTGGAATCAAATAGTTTACCTATGTAACTGTCAATTAGATACTTCATTTCTTTGTTCTTTTTCCTTTTTGTTTTTCTTTCATCTAAAATTTATTATACACATCTAAAATAAGTTTTAAGGTTGTATATTATATAACTAGAAAATTTTAATTCAAATTAGATTTATGATATGGATGTGTTTTAATTTTTCGTCATCTAAATAATATAGTTTCATCAGAATAATTATTGGACACTATATTGTGTTTTGTGACATAGATCAATAATTTAAGGATTAGATAATTGTACTATAGTGCTCTGAAGTTTCATATTCAAAAAAGAAAGTAACCGATCGCTGTTTTTCTTTTTTTTTATTTTTATTTATGTTCTAGCAAATGTTTGAATAGTGTTATAATTTTTCAAGCTTAGTTTATTATTCAATAACTATTTAAAAGCTAAGTTGAATTACATTTCAATGAAGTGGTAAATGTAATACAATTATTATCAAATGTATCTATTAATGGTTTTACAACAACAAAAAATAATAACAGAGAATGAAGTTGTTCTACAAATGTAGGCCATTCAATAGACGTCACAAATAATTTCTAAATGATGTTGCCAAATGTTCAGTTGAAAAATCAAAACAAATGTTATCTTTATAAGATTTTAAGGGCTTATCAACTAAAGTGAGGCAAAAAAGGAAGAAGAAGAAGAAATACACTTTTATGTCAATTTATTGAAAATTTCCGTGATTGTGTTTTTTTTTTGGTATTTGAAATAGTTTAAAGACAAAATCTGGTTTTCATAATTATTCATTTCATAAGGTTTATAAGTATTATACACATGAATATATTTTAAATGAAGGAAACATTTTGCTTTACCTATATAATGAATGTATTTATAACTAATATTGTTGAACACATTTCTGTCTCAAAAAATCCTTGTTATGGATAACATAATTGTCTATGTATGACAAAGTTATGTAAATAATTATTTAGGATCAAAATTGTTACAAATAAATTTTAGTGAAATTTGATTATGTTCATGAAGTTGAGGATATTTTTGGGGTATTAGTTGATTAGCATAAGGTAGAAAGTGAATACAAGTCAAAAGGTACTCAATAGATCTTTCCATGATAACGTATTGATTGTAATTCAATCATATAGTAGTTGAAGTAGTCATATACTATGACACTGAATTATCATCATATCATATAGTTAACTAACTAAAATTAGATATATATGTTTGTCTCGGGCTCATTACTTTTGATGTAGTTTCTATGTTTTTATTTACTAGTATAAAGATTATGGAGACTGTTAAGTTTTTGATTGAGATCATGAACCGATTGATGTTAGATCACCATTAAAGACCTGGAAGCACTGGATGGCCTTTACGTCTTATTGTGCGCATCCACGATCCCGCTCGAGGGATTCGAACCCAGGGCCCTCTCTCTGGCGTGCGAACGCTTAACCTAATGGACCACTGAGACGGCATCCAATGGTGATAGTGTCTAACATCAACCAATCCACGAAATTGCGCAACCATCTTCCATTGTACTGAGGTAGATACCTGTCTCTACCCGACATGGATTACCTCCACTGGTCATGGCTTCTCACTAGAACTCCAAGAATTCTCTCACGAAGCTAGTCACTAGTGAGCGCATGTTAATTACTAGTGTAGGGGTTGTAGGGATTATTAAGTTTTTGACTGAGATCTGTCTGTATTCACTGGTTCACATTTTTGTAAACTCTTAGACAATGCCAAAGCAACCATTTTAGCCTCTCTAGTCTCTAAATGGTGTTAGTTTTTAGTGAATATAATGTTTATTGTATAAATGTTCACAACCAAATGAATATTCTGCTATTTTTAATTAACGTATTAATACTAACATAATGAACTTCTAAATGAAATTGTTTGTTCAATATATGGTACTTCAAATTTTACCAAGGCACTCTATAATTTTGAACTACAAGATAAATTGGTTTTCCTCATCTGAGATCCCATTCACTACAATATGACTGTGCTATAAATAATGAAGATAAAATGTAGGAGAAGAAACAATAGTTCAATCTCACAAATTCCTAGTATTGTTATACTATGAAATTGGTCAAAGAGATACCAACAACAGACATGTTATCAAAAACGTTTATGTATTTCAATGAAAACTCAATTACTAATAACAATTACTTACCTATATAAACTGACCACTTCAAGAGTTCTTCAGAAACAATTGTTATGTAAGTAATACTTAGAAGTCATTATTTTGCAAGTATTCTGCAAAAAAAGTTAATGCTTATTATTAATTTAGGCTTTTGATCCATGAATAAATAGAATTATATGGTGTTGAGCATAGTTACTCGTTAAAGCAAATATTTGGACAAATATTTCTAAAGAATTTACTAATTACATGTAAGCATTTTAAATTTTTACTAAATAAGTGAAAATTACTTATGGCTGTTTTGCAAAAGAATGCCCTTTTCAATAATACTACAGATCTATTTCAATGTGATATTAATTATGAACAACATTATTTATTTAATAATCATTATAGCTATGCAGCATATTGTTAATATTCGACCAATTACTGGTGAAGTCATCATTGGCAGACCGTATGAAATGGTTTGTGAAGTTGAACCGCAACCGGAAGAGCCAATCAGTTTTGTATGGTATCATAATGCCAAAGTTGTGCATCGTGAAGCATTGTTACGTTTGAATTCATTATCGTATCGTGATATAGGTATGTATATATGTCGAGCTGAATGGACACCAAGATATTCACGTACTGCTATATCAGCTAATGCAACAGCTGAATTAAGTTTGGCATTGACAAGAGAAACAAAAATTGGTAAGTTCTTCGTGCTTAATATATAAATCTACACATCACAATATAAAAAGATCACCTTTAGTTTGAAGAGCAAACAGTCCTTATGATAACATATATAACTGAATTACCAAGTTTTATTATTGGAGTTGTTATGTTAAGCAATAAAATATCAGGACAATTCAAATGTTAACAGTATGTCTTGACAAAGCGTGCTCAATTTCTGTTAGGTTCCGATAAGCCTAATGAATGGTAACTTTTGGGATCCATTTATGGATCAATAATATGCGTATATTTTTATCGTATAATTTTTAAATAACTAAACTGTTCATATTCATGTCCCTCTTATCATAAGCTTTATTCTGACTTATGAACTATTATCCTACGATTTACCATTCTTGAATTATGCCTTGTCTATTAGGTACTACCTCCCTCATTCATAGCCACATTTGGCTAATTCTTGTACAAATGTTGTTTCATATTTTATGGTACGGTGTGGTCTGTCTGGTTGGTATATAAACACAGTTTGCATGAAATGAATGATTCATATCGCAGAGGCTGAGATTGGCGTTCTGGATTTAACTGGCTGGGCTAGGCGGAAAGCAGGACCAATCAGGACTCTAGGCTGCTCGTAAGGGTTTCACAAGTCATTGGTCCGATCGCTAATTCACTGCTCTCTAGTTGGCGGTATCGTTACGGTATACATTAACAGGGCACACAGGCTACAAGTTATAACAATTTCTAGCTAGTTAGTTTAGGTTTTTATATCAAACGATGAAGTTTAAAAACAAGTAAATCATTCAGCTAATATTTATTCATTACTTTGTTGTGTTTATTAATTCAAAGAGTTTTGTCTGTTAAAAGTTTATACATCGAATTATATATGTGCTTTGCAAATCCAAAGCTATTCACATAAAGTAAAATGTATTACTGCCTAATGTCAGCGACACTCATCCATGTTGAATAAATTGTTTTTATTTCCACATCATTCACTATCATCTAAGTAGAGGAAATTAAAACAGAGGGACCCATTTCAGAATCTTTATAGTCACAACTAATAGAAATGTGAACAAAAAAATCTTGTTTTTCCAGAAGAGATACGATTCTTGCAAAAGCACAGATAATCACTGAAGTACGCATCATTAAAAGTTAGCTGAAATAGACAAAATCAGTTAATTAAAAATGTTTCATTATCTTCTTGAAATTTAAGCTTGCTTAATATTTATTTGATAAATTAGTTATTAATCATGAAAAAATTATTCAGTCATAACATCATTATACGTTTCTTTGTTCATAACAAACTATAAAAAGACTTATGACAGATATTAGTCAGTCTTGAAAACACATTAAATGTACTTTACCTATATTTTACATTTGTAGAAATGAGTCCTCCACCTGGTTCAGTTATGGTTTCTTTACCTGGTGAAACACGTGAACTTCACTGTGAATTTCCTGTAGCTAATCCAAGAGATGTTAGGTGGTATTTTGAAAATCAATTATTAGAGAATCATCCAACTGTAAATGCTACAGGCAAAATATTTCGTATCGATCGTTTAAGAGTAAGTATTGTGACAATTCGTGGCATAGAATATGATCATGGAGGAACATACGAGTGCAGAATTGGTCGTGATATAAAACAAGCACATTTAGTTGTTAGAGGTAAGTGTTTTTTCTCATAAAACCAGTAAATTCATTTTAAACAAAACTATATAATATAACTACCTTAATTAAAATAGATTTATAAAACTTAGTAAATATAACAATTGGCAGTCTGGCTGTTGTTGGGACAGAGATGTTAGCATAATACAAGTTTCTAATGTAATAATAAAAGTTATTAAGTGAACATTATTAAATGAAGCATTTGTATTACATAATTGATAAGTAATTTTCTGATTTATCCAATTTTCGAGATCTTCAAACAAGTCAGGTGATTCGAGACTAAATTAAACTCCTTTAAAGTTTAGGTTATCAAGATTAATTGAGATCTAATTAGTAGTATCGAAATGAATTAAACGATAACATTTTTAAAAAATCAGGAATCATTCTATACCCATTATGAATAAGTCGTGTTTACAACATTAGATAGCACTGACTTAACAAATAAATATTTCATTCAAACCTCGATCCTTGTCAAACTTCTATAGGACCTATTACTTACTTACTTACTTGCTTACTTACTTACTTATTTATTTACTTACTCACTTACACCTTTTAATCTCAATGAAGCATAGGCCATCGACCAGCATTCTCCAACCCACTCTGTCCTGGGTCTATCTTTCCAGTTCTATCCAGTTTTTGTTCATTCTTCTCATATCTGTCTCCATTTCTCTCCCATAGTAGGTTGTTGTTGATAGTGCCTGGCTAACGAATCCAAAATATTTTGCGTAAACAACTGTTAATAAACACCTGTATCTTCTGGATGATGGTTTTCGTAGTTCTACAGGTTTCTGTCCCAGTAGACAGTAGAACTGCCTTGACATTTGTGTTGAAAATTTTGACCTTGGTATTGGGTGACAGTTTTTTTGAGTTCCAGATGTTCTTCTGTTGTAGATACGCTGCTCTTACCTTGCCGATCCGCGCATTCACATCTCTATCAGATCCACGGTGTTTATCAATGATGCTGTACAGATATGTAAAGGTTTTCACGCCCTCCAAATCTTCTCCGTCAAGTGTGCTTCCATTGTTGCATGTTGTGTTGTATCGGAGAATCTTACTTTTCCCTTTGTGTATGTTGAGACCTACTGCTGCTGAGGCTGCTGCTACACTGGTTGTCTTCTTTTACATTTGTTGTTGCGTGTATGATAGAAGAGCCGGATCATCTGCGAAGTTTAGATCGTCCAGTTGCATCCTAGCTGTCCACTGTATCCTATGCTTCCCCTCAGGTGTTGATATCTTTATAATCCATTCGATCACCAAGAGAAAGAGGAAGAGTGAGAGTAAGCAACCTTGTCTGGCACTGTTCCTTACTTCGAACGAGTTTTCCAATTATCCTCCATGCACGATTTTGCAGTTCAATCCATCATAGGAATTCCGTATGATATTGACTATCTTCTGAGGCACGCCTTAGTGTCGAAGAAGCTTCCATAGTGTTGTTCTGTCCACGCTATCAAATGTTTTCTCGTAGTCAACGAAGTTGATGTAAAGCGATGGATTTCATTCAGTTGATTGTTCGACAATGATCCGTAGAGTTGTGACTTGGTCTGCATATGAACTATCCTTACGAAGTTCTGCCTGTCGGTATCGAAGTTGGGCGTCTACGGAGTCCTTCATTCTGCTTAACAATACCCTGTTGAAGACTTTTCTTGGTATTAAGAGAAGAGTAATGCCTCCGTAATTCTCACACTTGCTGAAATCTCCTTTCTTTAGTATTTTGACAAAAAGTCATTCTTTCAATTCTGTTGGTACTTGTTCTTCATCACAAATCATTCAGGAGAGAATGTGGAGTATCTTTGCAGTTGCTGCTACATGTGCTTTCAGTGCCTGTGCTGGAAGGTTGTCTAATTCTTCTGATTTGCCGCTCTTGATTTGTCTTATGGCCATTCTGATCTCTTCAACTGTTGGTGGGTCAACATCGTTTGCGAGGTCCGTGGGTGCTACTTCGATGTTGGATGGGTTCAGTGGAGCTGGTCGATTCAAGAGTTCTTTGAAGTGTTCTACCCGCCTGTTTTGCTGTTCTTCGATGCTGGTGATTACTTTGCCCTCTCTGCTTTTCACTGGTCGTTCCGGTTTACGATAATCTATAAAACCTATATATTATACTACTAAATTCAATGAATTGAGATTTCGGAATTTTTTTAGTAGGCTCATTATTTTGTTAGAAAAATTACTCATCAATATTAGATTTGCGTTGTATAACCTAGTCTTAGCTAGCAAAGTAAAATAAAAGCTATACGTTAGAACAAAAGATATTTTGTGATTAAAATGAATTTTTTCTAATTAGGATTTTTCTTCATTAAATAGCTGAAGAAGGATTAGAAATCAATCCAAAATCGGATACAGTTGATGAAGGTGAAGCAGTAGAATTTCATTGTCGTGTACATGGAATGGATGGTAACATTAATCGTCAATTAGAATGGTATTATAGACCATTTTATAGTTCGACGCGTATACGTCTTGATGTTGATACACCTGATAATTTTATGCGTCATGATGATATAGTTGCTCAACATACTAGTTTTATTAGTAAAAGCAAAGCACGTGTTGCTGATCAAGGTGAATATATTTGTAGACTACCATCTCAAAATGAAGAAATTGTCGGAAAACTATTTGTTAGTAAGTCTTTATAACTTGAAACATTATACTATTTTAATTTGATCTAGTTTTTTATAGACCTTTAATACTGAACAGCGAAATGAAAAAGGAACACTTTATCAATATTTAATATAATATGTTGAATTTCACTTAAATGTTAGATATAGTCGGCAAATAAAAACCTCTAAATAAACACGATAGCCTGTCATATGCATGACATGAAGTTAAACTTTGCACAATATCCAACCTCCCGCCTACATATATATATATATATATATATATATATATATATATATATATATATATATATATATGCCTTTAGAAAAAAATTGTTTCCGACTAACTTTGTTTATCTGAACTATTTTTATTTCATCATATTTCACTTCAACATATAGGTAAACATTCCTTCTACCTTTCAAATCTCCCGCTTTACTCAATAAAACAGTTGATATGAAGTTAACACAAACTAATAGGCCGATCACATGTTTTTTAACATTCAATATGTTGATTTTAACCATATATATACTGGCAACATTCATATCGAAAATTGTAATGATAATGCAGATAAATAGAAAAGGTCACCAACATATAAATACTATGATAACAATAATAACAATATTACGGTTGCTGTACTTTAGTTGCTGACAATCATTTGGTTAATGGGAAAAAGATATGGTTTTTTCTGTTAGACTAAAGATAATTAATTTATGTAATTTAGCTAAATTTTAATAAAATAATATTAAATTAAATATTTACCCATTAAAGTAATTAATAGTTGCTTTGGATTCACTCTTAAGTTAATGATCAATTGTTAGGTATAGATACGCATTTTATACATGAACTTAATTTGTGAAAGTTCATGAAAATACAAAGAACGTAACGGCCGTCCAGCGCTTTCAAGTTTCCCATGGTGGTCTCACATGGCCACGTGCATACAACCACTGTCAGGGAAGTCTTACTCACTGCCTTCTCGCAAAAGCGGTGCTTTTTACAAAATTGAGAGGACAAAAAGCGAATATCCGAAGCTTTACCCGGGTTGGTGGATATGGAGGAACTACTTAGAAGAGTTGGAAAACCCTGATTTTAAACCAATGATGCACATGGGCTTCAAGATCCTAAAGGAACAAATAGCGTATGAACCTACTGTTGGTCACCGGCTATCATGGGGCTGCATCACCTGACGTTGCTACATTACCTTGTGGATCAGACCTCTAGGTCAAATGCTTTGGGTGTGACCCGGCGCGAAAACCACCTGTTTCAGTTTGGGCACCCGGACAGTATCCCAGCCCTCATACCAATCAAATGATTTATGTGGTGTGTATCTATTTGGTGCCTCCTTGTACCAATGTTTATGTGTTTAAATAATAAAAAATTGTGTTCTTAGCTTCAAATGGCTCATGAACTCAACTATTAAATTATTGTAATATCCACAAAACCCCTTTCTGATACAATCAATTGACAAATAACTTGCTTTGAATAATCCTAATTTAATAAAATAGAAAAATTTCATCAACTTTAAATAATCATTCCATTAAATTATCAAATGTAAAACTTCACAGAAGTACAGAAACAAAAACACAATACATTTAGTTTATAATAGACTTCAGTGAATTGCAATCTACTTGATAGACTAACATTTTAATGTTTCCTTACAGTTGTAACAACCAAACTTTTAAAACGTTTATACAATTCAACCCATTTATAAATTTTACTAAATCAAGAATGATGAAAGTAGCAGAATAACATGAGTTTATTATATTTTACTGTTTCTTGTTAACTGTTTACAACTTAATCATATTAGTATTGTAGTGAACAGAACACGGGTGGGGACAATCGAATTATATTTAACATAAAATTACAGAGTTACTTGGTAAAATAGAAAAACTATACTATAATACTTAATTCACAAAATGTTCAATAATTGTCTCGAACTTCATTGTTCTTGCATTTCCATACCAACTGCTTTTTATTCCCGCTCTTCCTTTCTTGATCTTCCCATCTTCTGCTGCCAGACATTACATTTCTGACTCGCGTCATATACTACTTATATCAATATAAGTAGCACGCACCTCAGTATTAATATTAAATAATCATTGTGCATACTTTATATCATAAATTCGGAAGAGTTTTCGTCAATGAAAATTAATCGAAAAAGTTATAAGTATGAAAGAACAAAAAGAGATGTTCATATGTTAATTAAAGCCAATATATATAAGTTGAGAATAAGAATATTCTAGAATAAACGACTGAGAACATAGAGACAAAATTATATAGAGACATTATTTACGTGTTATAGTTATGCAACTCATAACACAAAATCAACTAATCTAGCACATATCAAGTTTTTCATAAAGGAATCTCCCATGATTGATCCCAATGGACTACCCATCACCATCCCATTAATATGACGATATAAGATGTTATTGAATATAAACTGAATAATTCTAGTACGTATTAGTAGAAGCTATTGAAATTCATCTTTAGGTAAGGGGAGTGGGTCAAGGTGTTGACCTATTATCTGTTTGGTTTCCTCGAATGCGATTTTAGTGAATAATGATGATACATCAAAGGAAAGCATGAATTTATTAGAAATGTCCACTTTTTCTTTCATTTGAATAAATTGAAAGGTGTCTTCTAAACTGGAGTAGGAGGATGGAAATGTTTTCATTCTGTATTAAAATCTTAAAAGCTTATTAGTGATCTTTAGATAGAACTTTTGACTATAGAATTTGGAAATATCAACAAATATTATAGGAGCTTAGATTATTTTGAATTCCACAATTGAATTAATGTCATAGTAAGATTTCACTTGTATAACATTTTATTTATTTGAAATTCTATGATCGTAAAATAATAGGAATTCATAGGTCAGTATTTCAATATGGATTGTAAGTATTAGAAAGCTCGATCGTCACAATATTCTGTTTGATACCATCTGACTCTCTTAAAGGGATAAAATTGTCAATCTGTACAAACAAATCTTTTAGGACTATATTTTATCTAGTCTCTAAAATATGCAAAATATTAGTGGAATCGGAAACAATCAGCCTTATTTAAATAAATAAATGGTGATATAGATTGAAATATCTAAAATTGAAAAAAAGTCAATTCAATATGAGAATTACTCAATATCGTGAGAATTATAGTGGTTCCTTATTTGCAACCATTAGGAGTACTTAAATTACGGCTTAGTAGTGTAGTATGGTTAGTGAAGAAACTTAACAGCAGGTTTTCTTTATGTAAGAATTTAGACTTCATAAAATAAAATCTAGTAGGTATTTCAACTTGTTTTAAGATTAAACGCTATGAAAATGATATCTTCAGGCTATCATTCTGTAGATATCCAGTTTGTTAATTTGCTATTTACTTCTAAATTTATCGCCATTAAAGAAATTCCTTCTATGCATCCAGATACATATAGACCGTTATAAAGTGAGCAATTATTCCCAATACATTATGTAAAGAAGTCTCTTTTAAATACCAAATCCCGTTCAAGGGTTCACTGAAAAGCTCTTGGTTAGTGTAAGGTAGATAATTAATTGAAATTTTAATCCTAAAAACCGTAAAATATTCTTCAAACAGTTGAATATCAATTAATAAAAGGAATGATAGAATTGAAAGTGCCAAGTTCCATGAATCTGTTAGCATAACAAACTTTTTTTGTTCAACCTAATCGGTCGTTTTACACAAAATAACCATGAAAGATTGTCTTAATAGTCCACATGTCATATTTAAATGTTTTACACTGAATTTCAATTTTTTTTAACTAAAAAGGAGCAGTAAAAAGTTACATATTGACAATCACACCTCAGAGATTGACTGTTCGACCATATCAACCAGTAGAGTTTGAGTGTTTTGCTGCTTCTGAAGATGGACAACCGGCTCCATTTACTCCACGATTTCGAGTTAGAGATTCAAGAATCAGTTTCGAAACTACACGTGTCAGTGAAAACCGTGCAAGATTTGTGTTGCAACGTGGATTAGGTCCAGATCAAAATGGAACGATTGTTGAATGCCTTTCAGATGTAAGACTAAAATATCCTAAATATTTATATATTATTATATTGTTTATATATATATATATATATATATATATATATATATATATATATATATATATATATATATATATATATATATATATATTTGATTCATTATTAATTTAGAAGTACGCTTTCATCCAAAGGTGACAAATTTATATCTTCCTATTCCCAAACGGTTTGTACACAGAATCACCGTAATACATATATCATAAGACAGATATATCCTATATCAGCCATAATTATTTACCGTCTCTAAGATAAATAGTATTAAGCATACATATTTATTACAATTCACAAAATTTCCAATATTGTTTCACTAGTTATTCTAATAAACATTAGTAATTAGTTACCATTTTAATTGCCATAAATTTGACAAATATAAATATTTTTTTGTTTCAAATGACCATGATAAATATGCAGCAGTAATTCAATTGTGCTTTAACAAAACATGATTAATCGAAACTATATACCAGTACTTTTTTTGTACTGTTTTTTGAGCTATTTAAAGGTAGTCCACCCAGTAATCTATTGTATCTTTATGAATAGTTTTCAAAAAATCAAATCCCCTTTACAAAAATCAAACGAGTTTTGATCAATATTCAAACTTAGTACTTTTAAAATGTTTAATCACTAACTATAAAAAGAAAGAAAAGAATGTTATTTCAAACATTGAACAGAATATTTCCCACTATTGATCAGTTTCATGAAAACATGTTTGATTTCTATTGGTTGCTGATTCAATGAAATAATATCAAATGTTAATGGGTTCCGAATTAAATGATACATATACTGCATAAACGTGGTCTGAGCAGAATAATAACTTCAAGAATCTGAAATGACAATTCTTTATTCCTGTAATATATCCGTAAATTATTCGGTTCGATAGGAAAGTATTTCTACATTTAAATTTTAAAGATGGAAAACTAAATACGAACAGTAGTTTAATGAAGTAAACTATTTTAATAATATACTAAAGATAGACTAATGATCCTCTACTTTACTATTACTTTGCTTGAAGTTTATCCATTTTCTCATAAAGAGAGAATGAAAGAAATAAGTTCATTTTATACATCGTAACCTTTTTAACCTTTGTGTGGTTATACAAATTGTTAATAAAATTTGGTTATAAATTACACAATGATTTATGACTTATAACGTAGGTTGTTTTTGCTTTTATGAACTAAAGAAGACTGAAAACATGAAATGATCAATCATTTAAATGAGATTATTATTGTGTCAGTTTATTTACACTAATTTTAAATTTTGATTGCAGGAACCAAGTAAACCGACATCAGCAATAATTACAGTTGAAGATATCTGTCCAGATGGTTCACGTCGTTGTCGTTCCGGTCAGTGCCTACCAGCTGGAAGATTCTGTGATGGAGCTAGGGATTGTGATGATGGTTCAGATGAAGATCCTAAAATGTGCAGTGAGTAGGACAAATAATTTGTTGATTTGACTGAAAAAATTAGATTATAAAGAATAATTTAAACTTACCAACCTTTTTTAGGTTATTATGATCATTAAATTCCTGGAACTTAACTTGTACCCAAATTTAGATTCACCATCTTCGTATAATTACTTACATGATAAACTGACCGACATATAAGGCTTTTGAACTGTACACTAATTATCGAAATAACACTATAATCAGATAATATCTTGACCGTTGCAATTTATTCTTACATTTAAATTTGTTGATGAGGTTACTTTTGCAAGCCTCCTAATGTTAGAAATATATTATTAAGCTGGAAGAGAAAAAGAGAAAGATTTTTGCAAAAATACTTTCTTTTGTTCCAAATATCATCTCCAATATAAATTTAACAGAATTTTTAGTCTGAACATTTGTGATTGTAAACGAATGCGGAATATAAATTTTATTTGGCTTTCGTATTTGTTCAGAGAACTAAAGTTATTGAATGTGAATGAAAGTGAAACACACAGACATACTACATATATATGTACAACATACACTTAGAAAACTAATAATATGTGCAGAAGAAAGCACAAACAACTTGTCAGCGAAACCGTTAACAAACATAGAATAACACTTACTCCTAAAGGGACTAAAGTACAATACAAATAACGCCTCAGAACTGGAGTCATCACTTAAAACTGCCGGAATACGTGAAGAAACTCAACAGGAACTAAGACAAACTATGGTACGCTAACTCGATGGATGAAACACAACACCCACCTGACTTAACAAGAACAAAAAGCTTTAAAAAAACTCAGAACGAGTGGAGATATTGTCATAGTTCCAGCGGAAAAAGAATGCACAACAGTGATTAGGAACAAAAAAGAATATATCACGAAAGCCGATGAACTACTTGAGAACAAAAGCGTATACAAACCAATGGATGTAAACCCAGTTAATAGTTTCAACAACCAAATCTCAAAGTATTTAAACAAGCTCGTCAAAACAGAACAAATATCAGAGCAAGATCAATAAAGAATGAAATCCAATGTACCACTCCTCCTTTGATTCTACGGTAGGTCAAAAATACACAAACCAAATATCCCACTACGTTTAATTGTAGCACTCTCCGGAACCACAATACACAACTTATCAAGAGAAATTTCACGAATATCGAAGCATCTAGTAGATTCATTGAATCACTACATCATATCCTTCATACAATATAGGCGAGGTACCAAATTATTTCCTAACAAATGGTTTAAAGAAACCTTCCACGAAAGATAAATGAAACTAATTGTCCGACAGAACATAGATACTGCGTGTTTTTTTTGGTTTTATCACATCAATACTGATCTGTATATACAACCGACGATTTTTAGACAGTTTAGCGATAATCTAATTGTTTTTTTATAATCTACATGGTATATTAGTCATGAAATCACTGTAATAATAAAGTATTTGTATTCATTAACCAATTATTCTTTGAGCACTACATCTTCAACAATGTTCATTCTTCTCATTAACATTCAATAAAGTTATCTATTCAGCGAAGAATATAGTCTTTTATAGACAAAATTATTATCTATATTACTAATCTTGTATAGTATAAAAATATCTCTGAAGAGATAACAGATATAAACAGCATACGTTGATTTCCATTATTTCATGTATTTAAATTGTATCTTTAAAAAAACTATTTAAGTAGTATCTAATTATCAGAAAATTATCATGGAACTTTCTTGAATAATCTAATTTTTCGTTAAATAAATATCCTGTAATTTTGTTTTGTTTGTTTATTCATTCATTAGATATTTGTGATCCACTTTCAAGAAAATGTGAATATTATCAAGGGAAAGAATCGACAGTATCAACATTTATGGTACATTGGACTTGTGATGGTGAAAATGATTGTGGAAATGGTTTTGATGAATCAAATTGTGAAGGTAAACAAATAAACAATTTTAAATTCAAATATACATTCATAATAAATTTATTTATCATGTTTTGAAATCATTTAGATAGATTATAGTAAATTTTGATTTATTGTTTTAACAAATCATATTTTATATGATAAATTTCCCCTAGAAACTAAGGAACTGAATGTAATTTTAAAAAATGACGGGAGCATTATTCATATGATAATCAACTATTGTATCAATAATAACAATAAATTGTAGTAAAGTTATTCTAAATACGTGATCTAATTGTTTCGAAGTAATAATTAGAAAGCAAACTATTTCATTTTTCGATAGTTGAGATCATTAGTTAATTGAAGCTAGACCACCATAGGAAATCTGGAAGCATTGGATGGCTGTGTTGTCCTATTTTAAAACTTTTCAGCAGTTCGCATACACAATCCTGTACATGACATTCTTGTTTTTGTTAAATTTTATTTAATCTACAAAGAAATAGCTGATAATTAATCATAATATGTTAATTTTTCTGATGAACTAACTATTGAATGATTTTAAAACTGTAAAAAAAACTGCAACCCGATGTAACATTTAAAATTATTGAGAGAGAAATGAATTAATTGAATTTATCGAGATTTCATTGAACGAAGCAAATGATCTAAGTCGACAAGATATTTGTGGAAACGTTTTTTTCTTTCGAGGATGGTAGAATAAGATTTGTGGTTGTTATCATGAGTAAGTCCATATTATATACCAAACAACAATCTTAGAAAAAGCAAATCATATTTGTACTATACCCTACAATTATATACTTCTCAGCATGGATGTTGTGGAGATTACTAAGTTTTTTATTGAGATCATGAACCGATTGATGTTAGATCACCATTGAAAACCTGTAAGCACTAGACGACCGTTTCGTCCTATCGTGGGGCTCGTCAGCAGTATGCATCCACAATCCCGCTCGCGGGATTCGAACCCGGGATCTTCAGTCTCGCGCGCGAACGCTTAACCTATTAGACCACTGAGATGGCATCCAATGATGATAGTGTCTAACCTCAACCAATCCATGAAATTGCGCGACCATCTTCCATTGTACCGAGGTAGATACCTGTCTCTATCCGACACGAATTAGCTACACTGATCACGGCTGCTCACTAGAACTCCGAGAATTCCCTCACGAAGCTAGTCACTAGTGAGCTTAGGATAATTATCAGTATAGGTGTTGTGAAGATTGTTAAGTTTTTGATTGAGATTATGAACCGATTGATGTTAGACCATTAGATTGACCACTACTACTTGATTCTTTAGATAGAAACCAAAAATATAACCTTACAAACACAGTTATCACTAGATTGAATTAAATGGTGTTTTTTATCTTGGCGATTTGAAATTAAACCTTGTATTGTTGAACTAGACTAGCGTAAGAGTAATTAATATTGTCAATTATCTTTGGTAACTAATAAAGTGGTTAGATTTTAAAGGTATTACCATTTTTCTCAATAATTTACATTATTGAAACTATACCAAATATACATAGTTCAAACAGTTACTGTAAATTCAAAGGTATTGCTATAAATGCCATTCGATAACTCTTCTAGCTAATACTATTGTGTTTTTTGTGTTCACTGACATGCAATCATTCAGATATTAAAGGACTTATCAAATTCTACATCATTTCTAGGTATTTCAATATCTATTAACCAATTTATTATTTCAACATGTTGGTCTTTTCATAACATTTGCAAAGTATTTATAGTATAAATTTAAATAAAGTGTTTTTTTTCTAAATTCATTTATAAGCACGAGCTTCAGAACGTTGTCAAGATCGAATGTTTGTTGTACGAGATGGTCGTCAAATTCCAATGGCTTTTGTATGTGACAAGGATCGAGATTGTAGTGATGGTGAAGATGAATTAACTTGTGGTAAGCTTGTTTAAAAACAAACCACTACAGTTTTATTATTTAAATAAACACTGTTCATTGGCAAAAAACACAAGGTTTTCAAAAATATTTCTGAAGATGATAAGCCTAAAATTTTAACGGATCTAAAATGTAGGAATTTATATTATTATTATTATTATATTACTATTATCTGCTTCATTCAATATTATGTTTTTGGTACAATATAGAATTCTCAGCGTAAAGTATTTCAACAAGTTTCCGTTTCTTTCTTCTTGGTCGGTCCTGGCGATAAATATTGAGCGATCGCCAGTTAGATGTTAGCAGTTCAGTAAATGAACATCTGAATAGTGTGCATTCTTTTCGTTGTATATTGCCAGCAACCACATTGTCTTTTATTGAGTTTTTTGTAACTTTGACAACCAAAAGGTTGTACACTTTCAGAAGCGCAGCAGAATAGGTTATGCGATTAATAAGCATAATGATATATTAAAACAAACAAAAATAGATAACTTGTTGAAATATCTAGATGGCAGGAACAGGTAGCCCAGATGCTCAAGCAGCCGCCCTTTATTATTGCAATTTAGTACTTCTATTATATAATGTTAGAGCTGGTGTTTGAAATTTTATTAATTTGTGACCAGAATTATGTCTTCTTTTGTGGGTGTTTCAAATAATGTTCTCCATGGTCATTTAAATACATTAATTACTTTTACTAATGTACTTGAATTACATTTTCTTTTAAATATTACAAAGGATTATAAACGGTTTGAGGATATCATTAAGAAAATATTCTCTCTTGAAATGTCATTGATTCTCCTACAACGACACATCAGATTCGCGTTGAAAAATAAATATGAGCTGCCGTTTTGTCCTATTGTAGGACTCCTCAGCAGTGCGCATCCACGACCTCGCCCCCTGCGAGATTCGAACCCAAGGTCTAGTTTCAACTGACTCATGATCCTAACCATTGAAATTACTATAATAACCACAAAACCCATCTGATATTAAAATAAATATAAATTGAAAAACCCAATTTTTTCACTATTCTAAAATGAATCTTTGTATAGTATAATAGAATAAGATGATTAATTTCAGCTACATCCTACTTTATTTATTCATTAAGTACTTACTACTTATGCCTTTTACCCCTCGTCAAGGAGCATAGTGCGCCCACTGGTATTCTCCATTCAACTCTGTTCTAGACAATCCTTTCCAGTTGATATTCATCCTATTAATGTCTGTTTCCAATTCCAAACGTATTGTGTTCTTCGGCCTTTCCCTTTTTCCGTTTTCCTTCACGATTTGAAGTTGGGGCTTACCTTGTTCATTGAGTAATGTACCTATATTTTTTTCTTTGAAATGCTTATAATTTTAGACTACAATATATTGCAATATACAACAGTGTCATGAAATCATATATAAATGGGAATACACAAATGTTCTAAAGTTCACTAATACTTTTTAATCGAAAGAAAAAGAAAATATGCACACATTTTCATAGACTAGTGTTCTCAATGACTAGTGATTAATTACAAGAAAAATATCTTAATAGATAACTGTATTCAACAACTTGATTATCACACCCTTCAATTATAAATCTATAATAATTGTATCATAATGTTCAATGTAGTTCAAACACTTATAATTTATAATTGAACTTAGATAATGTTGCATATAAAAAAGGAACGAAGTTTGCATCGATTAGGATTTCACTTACTTACGCCTGTTACTCCCAATAGAGCATAGGATCTAAGTACATCATTTGTAAAGTTGACACGTCATCTAAGACTAAGTAAAACATTCATCAGAAGGTGGTTATTCATAATCAATATAGTGAAACTATATGATTATGTATAATAAGAGAAACTGTATAGAACTCCCGTTCATATTAAAACACTAATATTAAAGTTTTAATAAGATTAATGTTTTAATAGACGTAGTGAAATCATATGAAACATATTAAATGAATATCTAATTAATGATATTTCTTTGGAAGTGGATAAGAGTTTAGATTATGTAACTTCGAAAGTAGATGCTCTTATTGTTGAACGTTGAACGTACCTATTTGGGTAAATATATTTGATTTTCCTAGGCTGATCATGACCGCTTCAAAGTCAAATCTTGCACCCACTAATAGAATGCTTATGAATCGGCAAACAAACCTAAAAGACTTCTAATTTGATATCATGTTCATCATTCTCCAGATGAAAAATGATGATGCTATTTAATCTGCAGAATATTTTGTGAACCCATTAACCAATAAGAGGGAGAATAAAGCTCATTCAAATAGAAGAAAGAGACTGTTCAATGAATCCGTGATAATCACTTCTCTCACATGCATTACTTACAAATCAATATAACAATTTTTAATTATCCAATTTCACAGTTTGAGACACTACCACAGATCGATAGAATTTAATAAACACTAGAGTCAACAAGGATAACATTAGCTACAACCAAACTCTTAATCAATTTAAACTTTCAGTTTAATGTTATAATTGTCCATTACTGATAAGTTCTAAATTGTGACAAGATTTATATTTTGTGCTTTCTAGCTTTCACTAGTTCATTTATTAACGTCAATACGCCTTTATTAAAACCTTTACAGTCAGTGATAATTTCCTATTTCATGAGTACCACAAAATTATTAGAATTAGCTTAATACAATTATTTATATTTCAATAAAATATGTAATTTCAGTGGTTGAGATCATGAGTCATTTGAAGCTAGACCACAATGGAAAACCTGGAAGTACTGGACGGCCGTTTCGTCCCATTGTACGACTTCTCAGCATTGAGCACCCGTGACCTCGCCCCCTGCAAGACGTGTCACTCAATTTCGTGGATTGGTTGAAGTTAGACATTAACACCGTTGGACGCCGGATCAGTGGTCTAGTGATTAAGTGCTCGCGCGCAAAACCAGTAGGTCCTGGGTTCGAATCTCGTAGGGGGCGAGGTCGTGGATGCTCACTGCTGAGGAGTCCCATACTAAGACGAAACGGTTGTTCAGTGCTTCCAGGTTTTCCATTGTGGTCTAGCTTCAACTGACTCATGGTCTTAACCATTGAAATTACTATAATATCCACAAAACCCATCTGAAAATATGTATATATCAGCTACCTGGAAGGTGAATAAGATAAACCAAACATAAATTATAAAATATTTAAACCAGTTCAAAGAAAATTATTTAATAATAAACAGTTATTACATAACCTATTTATTGGACTGTTGTTTAAATAAAGAATTTATGTATTCATTGTAATCATAATTAAATTTAAATAAAATATTTAAAATTTCTGTTTATGATAAGATATTTACTTAATATACTTACTGTGGTTCATGGTAATTTAATTAAAATAAATTATTCACTAATGGTTTGTTTAACTACAAAGTTAAAACTATAATTGTAATATGTATTACTGATATTGCCAGATATAAGTAGTATGTATTAATAATCTAAAGTGAAATACCTGGCAGTAGAAAGTTAAGAAGATAGAAGAAATTTAAATTAGAACACAATGTGATTAGTGTGAAAATGAAGGAATAATCAAATCTGTGACAATTGAGTGACATTTTGAAAATTAAGTGTTTATTGTATGGTTCTTAAATTTTATATTCGCATAGATCCGGTTATTCCTACTTGTATGCTCTCATTCACTACACAATCACTTAATTCAAGCTGTGAATTTATTCATACATATTTTAGGAGTATATATGCTTTCAGGTTAACAATGAGACAAAAAAGATTTTAGTTTTTTCTTGCATAAGATCCTGAGAATAGCTCGTAGGTATACTGTCTGTAGGCATAAATAAAATAAGTTTAGTTACACAATCCAAAGTAAAACTGATGCAAATAAATAGATACTTTTAAAAAATCAATCAGTTCAAAGTGGTAAATCCTTAATGTTAAGTGGTTGGAGGCAATCAAGAGGAAGCTTTGTATTTAAGATTAATGACTGTTGTCATTCTGCAGTTTTGAGATGCGACTAAGCTTTTGCTAAACTGAGAGTTTCATGCTTTTGATTATCAAATATTCTACTTATCTTTGACATTGGGTGATATGAGTTCATATTTCGTTAGAGGTAATAATCCCTTTAAGATTCCAGATGAGTTATACTGTTGAGTAATAACTAGCATGAAATGTAGGTGTACAGTCAAGAAGAAGAAAACTGTTCTAATGTCAAAAAACAATTGGAGAATATAAGCTATGAATCAGTTTCATGTGTAACACAAATACTCCTATCAAGATCTGAGTATCAGTCTTTTGAAGGTCCAATCACTGTAAACTAATGTATGAGATTATCATAAATCCAAATATTTCATCGTTTATACATAATATTGTTATTCAAGGAAATTCGACACACCATAATCCCTAATCACTTATAACAGACTATCCGAGTGTTTACTATAATGATTTATAGAATATTGCCGTTAAACAATCTGTCTTTAAAAGCATTTAGTTCGTATGTTAGCATTATTCTTGTTTGATTGCTTTGAATAACTAAGTTAATTGGTAATCACTACTTTATAGCTCCGCCAATGATTGCTGAACCACGTACTACACGTTATTCTGTTCGCAGAGGTGATACTGTAGTTCTTGTTTGTGAAGTCACAGGCAATCCCGTGCCCTATGTGATATGGCGCTTCAATTGGGGGTGTCTTCCTGAGGAACCTAGTCGTTTCAGAATAAGCAATGTACCCAGAAACTGTAATGCACCAATGCCAACTGTCGTGAGTACCCTGACAATTTCAAATGTAAGACCAGGAGATGATGGAATTTATAATTGTGAAGGTCTTTCAGGAGCTACTCGAGCATTATCCAATGACCTAGTTGTCATGATCGGAGGTTAACTAATGTGAGTGATAATTTTGATTGCCTAACATCCTTTTTAAATTTCTCATTTCAGAAATTCATATATTTTTCATGTTCCTAAATGAGCTTTATTTTTTATATATCCTTCATGTTTAAATCTGTGAACCCAAAATTATATTTTTTTTAATTTACCAAACCTTCCGAAGATCATGAAAAAATTAACGTTATTTGGATATTGATAGTCTTAATTTTAATCGTTGATAGAGGTGAATATTTGAAATATAACTTTATCCAAACAAAAAAAATATGCAATATCAGGTAAAGACTTCATAAACAACATGTTCAGCTATTTACTCACTTACTTATACCTTTTACCTCTAGTGGAGCATAATTTGCTGACCAGAATTTTTCAGCCGACTCTGTCGTTTGCTCTCCTTTCCAGTTCTTTCCAAGTGCTATTCATTCTTTCCATTTCGGCCTCCAAGTCCTGGTGCAACGGGTTCTTAAGGATGCTCTATTTCTTTGGTCTTTAGGATTCCAAGTTAGGGCTTGCAATGTGTTGCAGTCTAATGACTTCCTCAATGTACATCCTATCCACCAACTCCATCATCTTTCCCTAATTTCCTCTTCATTTGGAAACTGGTTTGTTCCCTCCCATAGTAGGCTGTTACTGATGGTATCTGGTTAACGGATATTGAGTATCTTGCGTTGACGATTGTTTAGAAATACTTGTATCTTTCTTATGATGATTTTAGTAGTTCTCCAAGTTTCATCTCCATACAGTAGAACTGTCCCGACGTTCATATTGAAGATTATGACTTTGATATTGGTTGACAGTTGTTTTGAATTTCATATGTTATTCAGTTGTAGGGATCATGCCCTTGCTTTGCCGATCATTCCCCTGACATTTTCATCAGATCCTTTTTGGTTACTATGTAAAACGTTCCACATCACCCGGAGCTTCCCCATCAAATGTGATTTGGTTGGTGCTGGTGGTGTTGTACTTCAGTATCTTGCTTTTCACCCTGTGTATATTGATGTATGTTACTGCAGAGGCTGCTGCTACACTAGCTGTCTTCACTTGAATGTTTTGTTGTGCATAGAACAGAAGAGCTGGGTAATATGTGAAGTTCAAAACGTCTAGCTGCATCCAACTCTCCACTGTATTCCATGGTTTCCCTGAGATGTGAAGGTTTTCATAATCCATCCAACAACCAGAAGAAAGAGAAAAGGTGAGAGTAAGCGGTCTTTATGACACCAATCATCAACTTGAATGCATCTATGAAAGCTGTCTTTTGCGCACAACTTTGCAATTTGGTCCCTCTTAGGAGTTCCGTATCATGTTGACGATCTTTTCATAAGCACCATAATGTAGCAAAAGATTCCACCCAATTATCCTACCTACACAGTCAAATACCTTCTCATATTAAAGCTCGTTAATGTAAAGTGATGAATTCCACTCAATCTCTTGTTCAACAATAATCTGCGGTCTATATATGACGGACGATTACAGAACCCTGAAGTTGGAGTCCTGTGGTGAAATGTTAAAACCATACGTCCAATACTCTATTTGCAACTCTTCCATCAATTGTCTCAAACTCCATCGTTCTTTTATCACCATAAATATTACTCTCTGTTTCCGTTCTCTTCGATATGATTTTCCCAATCTTCTGCTGCCAGACATTCCATTTCTGATTGGTGATATATACTACTACTTAAGTAGCATAAACCGCACTACTACTTCCCACTCTTGATTCGTCGGATGACCTTCCTGACTTATTTTCGGTAAAGAAAAACCTAAAGAGAGCTCTGTAGGTTTTGCTTTGATGCCCAGTGGGTATAGTATGGCTGGATCAGTCAATAGCTCTTAAAGTGTTCTACCCACCTGGTCTGTTGATCTTGAATCGCAGTGGTTGGTAGGACTTATTTGTTCATGACTGGTCTCTCTGGTTTACCATATTTCCTCGCTAGCTCTTCCTTTTTATCATAACGTTGTTTCATATTTGATTCTCTTGAGTTATTTTTTTCTGTCGTTCCTATGTCTTCCTGGTATTTGAGTTTTTCCGCTCTAATATTCTTTTCCACTCATTTGATTGCCTTTGTGTATTCATTCTGTGTCTTGGCTTCCTCTGCTTTTGTTTATTTATTGCTGACTTCTATCTTCCTGCTTTTCCTTTCTTGAATATTGTCCAAAATATCTGAAGTAATTCATTCTTTACCCTGGTGCTTGTTTGGCCCCAGAACTTCATAGCATGTTAAAATTTTCGCTTTAATCGCTTTCTAGTTGCTCTTTGTAGTGGTCCTCACTGCTTCCATAATATTTCGCAAGACGTGGGAGTGGTTGAGAGATATTTTGCACTCTTTGAGCTTGTAAAAAATGTTGACATAAACGTGTCTCAAACTTCTGTGTTGTTGCTTGTTCAATTTTTCAATGCGTTCTTATCTTTGGCTTTAGCTCAGCCACCACCGGATGGTGATCTAAAGTTATATCATCTCCTCTTTTTTGTCTACATTTCTTACATGAAACCTCCTAGTCCATAGCGCTCCATGGTTTATTTCCTCTCAGTGTTGTCCATAAAGAACTTAGTGTTCAGGTCTACCATCAGGTTGGTCAGCTCCTTTCCTGGGCAGTTTTCTACGTTGAACTCCGGCCTCATAATACTAATTTTTATCCCCTACACTGTCATTATTGCTGAGTGCGCAGCAATGGATCACATTTACTGCCATCCTGTCCTCCTTTGCTTTGAAGGATATTTTGACCGTCCAGAAGCCATGAGATGCCTATCCGGAAGTGCTTTCTTGCTTCTTTATATAGCACTAGTGCACCTCCTTATGTATGTGATGCGTTTCCTCCTTAATTACTAAAATAAAGCAGCTTCTCTTCCAAAGCTAGTCTTTCTCTTCAGCTTGTGTATAATGGGTTACACTTATCCTCAGCAGAGCCACTTAGTATTTTCTGGTTTCCACCACAATTTGAATAGTCTTCTGGTCTTCCTCATTGTGTGGGCACTCTATGTACCCATATTGATTATCATGGCGGTTGTCAGAAAGGGTTAATGGCATTGTGGTTTCTGAAAAATCTCGGCTTTCAGCGTGAGGCATTTTAACTCTTATGAATGTAGACCTTGGAAATGACAGAGCCGAGTGTAAGTGATTTTTTCTGGTCACCGCCTTTTAGTGAATTTCATTTTATAGGATTAGGTTGCCAACCTCATACCGAACTCTCGATTACCCGAATTGGGGATCAGCAGAAATCAGTAATCCTGATTTACAGAAACCTGATAAATATATTTAAAAATATAAACTATCCGAAAAATGCAAATCACTTCATCAAAGTTCACGAATTTTTATCAATGTTCACTCGGAACTTTGACAGAGATTTAATCTATCACCCTTATGTCTCGGGGTGAGCATCTAACTTTGGCTACAGAATACAATGGTTCACATTTCCCTATTTATTTATTTAGATATTTAGTGAGACGATCAACTGGCGTTTGAACTCAAACATAAGTAGAGTTCATGGATTACTAATTCAGATTAGAAATCTGGAATTTGTCTCAAGATTCCTCAATATTTAGCATAATATAATCATACTTAAATTCACAGTATTATTGTTTATTTAGTTACCTGTAGAAATGAGTTCAACTTCGGTATAGTTTTCATCATGCATTGACTCAAAGTCTTATGATCTGAAAGTCATTGTTTTTCTTGGTCCTCGCTGCTCAACCTTGATGAGTTTCAAACTATTATAAATCAGTTATCCGATGCCGTCTTATGTTCACTGGCCTATCAACTAAATTTTGTTTATGATTTATTTATTTGAACATATAAACATTGGTACAAAGGGGTACCGAATACATATGCGCCACACAAGTCAATTGATTTGTATTTGGGATGTGATACTACCTGGGTGCCCAAACCGAAGAAGGTGGTTTTCTTAGGGGGCCACTCTCGGAGCCTTTGACCTAAAGGTCTGGAGCAACGTCAGGATATGCAGTCTCATGGCACCCACTTGTTCCCTCAGGATCCTGAAGCCCATGTGCACCATTGGTTTTTAATCAGGGTATTCTGACCCCCTAAGGTAGTTCCTCCGTATCCACCAACCCGGTTAAAGCACCGGACATTCGCTTTTCGTTCTCTCAATTTCGTAAACGACAATAATGTTACGAGAATGCATTGAGTAGAACTTCCATGACAATGTTGTATACACGTTGTATACACGTGGCCATGTGAGAGCATTTGGAGAGTGAAGGTGAACTCACACCATCCTCGACTGTACCAGAACATCTGGGGGAAACGGAAAACAACCCTAAAGATAAATAATCTTAACGACATTAAGAATAAGTTCTAAAGTAACTGTTCATCTTATATTCATTAAGAAAATCGATGGCTAAGTTAATCATGAACAACTAAATATGAAAAGGGGTTTTGTGGAGATTTTAGAAATTTTAATGGTTAATATCGTGAGTTAGTTGAACCTAGACCACAATGGAAAACCTGGAAGAACTGAACGGCCATTTCGTCCCAGTATGGGACTCCTCAGCTTTGAGCATCCACGACCTCACTCCCGTACGAGATTCGAACCCAGGATCAACTGGTTTCACGCGCGAGCACTTAATCACTAGACCACTGAGCCGGCATCCAACGGTGTTAATGCCATTCAGTGCTTCCAGGTTTTCCATGGTGGTCTAGTTTCAATTGACTCATGATTTTAATCAGTGAAACTAAATATGAATCATACAAATTTGTCATGTATTTCATAACTAATATAACATAATTTCTAATGTTCATTAAATTAAACTTTAAATAGAATTAAAGATAATAAATATTTGATATACATATTTATTTTATTCCACAAAATCAAAAATATCATTATTCTATCTAATCATTTTATTACTTTTCTATACTTTCATTATAGTTATCAGGTTTCATTAGAAAAAGCCAATAACAACTTCCAATAAAAAACAATCAAACAACATTGAATTTATTTAAATTAATTAATTAAAAACAACAGAGACATTTTAGAAGTGTTTTTTTTTCTTTTTAGTTAATACTATTCCTATTCAATTTTAAATTTGTTCTATTCTTTTCAAAAGATAATAAAATAAACAATTTAAACAAGCAAATTTTCAAAATATATTTACAAATATCAACAATTAAAAACAAATAAACATTTAGTTATATTTAAAAACAAAATAAAAAACTTATTTATTTTACATAATTATTTATCAATTATTATATAAGTATTATATGTTTCAATTATAAACAATACTATTCATTCAAATGATCAATTCAATATTCAATGATAAATTACATTTTTCAAAAAAAACAAAAAAACAACGTTTTAATGAATTACATTTAGTAATTTTACATTATCAGATATAATTATTTAATTATATTGTCAATTTATTTTCATTATTTAAAGAAAAACAACAATAACAACCAAAGGAAAATAATTCAAATTTGTATTGAATATGATTGGTTGCTATGGTAAATTAATAGAATTGTTTAATGTTAAAGATTTCAATGAACATAATGTTATATATACTTCAATATGATGTTTTTATTTTATTTTTCAGCTTAATAATGATACAAATTAAGTTATTAATCTTAATTCATTATAATGTTATTTTAGAAATATTTACGCTTAAAAAAATATTTTTTTCTTTTTCATGTTTAAATTTAAAAAATGCTAATATTTCTTTGAATGGATTATGTTCTATGTTGCTTTGGAGATTTTGTTTCTTAGAATAATGAAGTATCCATGGCAATTCATACTTAGTAAACGTCTGAATATACATTTGAAAAAAAGGGATGAGTGAAATCTGAACTTCCTGTCATGAATGCTTTTTAGACAATTAAACATAAGTTGGTTAACGGTAAGTACTGTAATTTGTAGAAAAAAAAAGAAATTTTGTTACATTTTTGGCAAAATCTTGTATTTTGAGCTATATGGTTTAACACAGGATCTTCCATTTTTTTATTATTGGACACCATCATCGGTAGACAGTTAAAGTGAAAATGAGTTTTTCAGAATTACACTATAAGAGCTGAACTAGTATTTTTTGACGTTATTTTTGACCAGCTGTCTCTGTAAGTCCCGCCAACTTTATATATCTCTAGATTCTGATCAACTGTTTTGTTCGATTAACCTTTAATCATATCATTCGGTGACCTTCTTCATATTTTTGGAAAAACTGAGTCTATATTGATATGATTTTCAGCTACCTATTGGACTAAATATCATACTTCTCTATGTTTTCTAAAATTTTTGGAATTATCTCGGACCACATAAAACATAAAATCATTGCTTCTGTTTTAATAAGAATTAGCTTTCCGAACCATCATATCATTTTCTTTGTTCAGTGCCTCCAGATTTTCAATGGTAATCTAGCTTAGTTCGGTTCACGATTTCAATGAAACGAAACAATCTTCACGATCTCATATTGAAAATTTTCCCTTTCGTTGATTAGTTATTCTGAGTAAGATATTTAATGATTTCAGCGAACATATTCCCAAGAAATTTTGACATAGAAGAGAAAACGATTTTGAAAGTTCGATTAACGGCCATCTGTTCAGTATGGAATAAAGATATATGCAGTGTACTCATCCAAAATATTCAATACAACTCCTTTCGATTAAAATTCGCAGAGGCTATAGAAATTAGGAAACTTAAATATCATTTTTGTGTTCAACAGGAGACTGGCTCAATTCCAACTCCCTAAGTACAAAAAGAACCAATATTAATAGGTTAATTTTATGTTTCAAAAAATCATCAACCCCTTTCAGTGGTCCCAATTTAATTTTCTGTCTTAGCTTTGTGTGTTTTTTATAAATCTTCTGTTTTATTACATAATTACATTCTATTACTACCACTAGAATTACGTATTATAACAGTGTTAAAGGGCTTTAATTTAAGATCATCACAAATTTACTGATCACTGAAAAAATTAATTGCTAAAGGTTGTACGCTAGTATTATAATCGAATTTAATTTACCAGCTTATGTTTGATGGGACAGAATACATAAAACATAATCACCTCATTGTATTCTAAAAATATTATAGTTTATATTATTTTTAAGCTTGTGAAGTGGACAAGTTGTATAAAATCTCTTTGTAGTTGGAATTTAATAGTATTCGCATTAACAGAAAAGAGAGATCATGTCCTAGCTATGACATTTTTCAGTCTGGTCGATGCAGTATCATCTCAACTTTCAGCTTGTTTTCGGGTCAAGCAGAAAATTTGACACTCATTATGACCATGAGTTGCCACTGCCAAATCCAAATTCATTGGTTACGTTGACCCTACCTTTTGAATATCAGGCGACTGTGAAATGCTAAAATTTACTTACACAAGATGATGGACTCAGTGAAAAAAGAACTTAATCTCCTCTATCACTCGGAATCTGGCATTCCTAAAGCAGTGTTCTTATTGGTATGCTGATGTAATCTCCAATACCACCTCGCCTATGTTTACTCAGGCATATTTGACATTTACATCTACGGTGCTTTGACAAATTCCATCCCTTGCAGTTCAGTCAGTCAGTTCAATCTTAATAATGATCACCATAATCAATGTCGGTCCATTTTGCACTCACCCGTTTTTATATACCCTAATTAGGTCAAATTTAATCTAAGCACGGTGCCCAAATGATAACTTGACACCCCACGGACTAATGAATAAATTTGACAAAATACTTCCAAGGCTATAACATAAACCGAAACTACTTACTATAAAATATTTTGCTTTCTCTAAACACGCCTACAACCCAGTGAAACTAGCTAGATAATTGAAAAATACTCTACTGCATCCTATCTTTGAAATAATTGCTCTGTTCGGTCCTGAAAACTATTGTCTAGTAAGTTTGGCTGACATAGTTGTCAAGATTCTAAAGAGGTTATTTGAAAACAACTATTTAATCAAATGGGTAAGATCTTGGTACTCCAAATAATAGCATGTTTTCCGAATTGGTTGCTCAGGCTTCTAAGTTGTAATTGGCAAAGAAACATTCACTGGCATCCCAGATCATAGGTTACCGAAAGATGCAATCTTCACTCACTTCAGTGACGGTTATGGTAAAGCTTCATGTACCCAACTTCTATCTGAGTTGGGAGTAATTTAATGCTGCATACAGATGGCGATGATTAACAGAGTCTCCAAGTGTAATCCTTGCTTAGTCTTCTTTCTTTTATTCGTAAGTAATCCCCATAGTCTTTCATTCCGCTCAGTCTTGATATTTGCAGACAGTAACAAGATATATGAGGTTATACAAACTGAAAGGAACACTATAGATCTCTGAAATGTTACAACAAATTATTAGAATTATCGAATACTTGTGTTGAATTACTTTTTTTGAAAACACACAGTAACCTTCGAAGTAATATCAGTCAAGACTCAAAGTTCGCTACACAATCCTAAGTGGAAGCTGTTTTAAAAACTTTGAAGAAATACATGGCTTATTCAATCACCGGGATACCAAGATGTCTATAACTTTGATTACAACAACTGTCCACCCACATTTTGAGTGAGTCATGCGGACATCCATCCCCTTCCCTCAAAAAGATTGTGGTCTGTTAGGAAAAAACTAAAAATTGGCAAGTGGGTCAATCTCTAAACTTTTGTATGATGAACCAGCTACTATTATACAGGAAGACTCCAGGTGGTCCATTCACAACTTTTAACCTAAATAACGTTTATGAATTGATATTTTTCGTTTATGTAGCCTTCAGGAACGCAAGATTTGTACTTTAAGATGCACAGCATGCTCTGAAAATCTGCCATAACTGGTGAAATACGCTATGAATTGTGTTGATCGCGAATGACTTCTTGACTTACTTGGTTAGTGTGATTAGATAACACTTCTCACGGACCAAGTTTACTGACACACAGTGTCAATGAGGAGACATTGAGAAATAGGATATCTGATAAGTCAAATGTTGGTCATTTCACACATAAAACGTAAAAGGCCTCCCGACACAACTCAATGGTAGGTCATTTACAGACCGATTAAATCAAGCTGAATTATCAGGGCTACTCAGTGCAGTCTCGTTGTCAATCGCTTGTCACCTGATTACCGACTTTTTTATCGAATCATTTAATACTTAAAACGTCCACCAGGGTGCTTGGTAACTGTGTGGTTGCGCCACAGGATTGAGCTGTACTATTCAGATTGTAGCGTTAAAGCCTATACGGTGTCTGGTTCTCCTGTTAAACGGGAGTGAGCTGTACTGTTTGGGTTGTCACGTGAAAGTCTGGATGGTGTCTGGTTCTCCTGAAAACCAATGTAAAATTACCCTGGCCCACAAGGGTATATTATATAACTATGAATCGCCCAGAGCCTGGAAAGATGCTATAATAAGTCCGGTTAGTAACTATAGGCTCGTTAACTTAACCAGTGCAGTTGTAAAACTGGTGGAGAAAATCATTCGGATATCTGTCATAAACTATGTTGAAGGGCATAATCTTTTCTCCGTGGAACAACATGGTTTTCGAAGAGGCCGATCATGCTTGACAAATCTTCTCATTGCAAGACAAGATTGGGCTGCTGCAAAAGATCAGAATATTCCTGTGGATGTGATCTAGATCTACATAAGGCCTTTGATAAAGTCTCCCACTCTGGTCTTAAATTCAAACTGGAACGTTTTGGAATCCATTATACTGTCGTAGATTGGATAAATAACTTTCTCCATGACAGGAGACATAGGGTAAGGGTAAATGGGGCTATCTCCTCGTGGGTACCTGTAAAAAGTGTAGTTCTTCAAGGTACAATCCTCGGTCCTCTTCTCCTTTTACTTTATGTGAATGAACTACCAACTATAACAAAATCATCCGTTCTACTCTTTGCTGATGACATCAAAATTTGAAGACCCATACACAGTATGTCGGATAGGATGATATTACAGAATGATCTTAGCTCATTGGTGGCATGATTGGACAAGTGGTCGCTAAAAGTAAATCCTAATAAGAGCGTAGTGATGCAAATAAATAACTGTGATGAATCGTATTACTATACAACATGTGGATTCGCGCTACCCAAGGTAAGAAACCACAAAGATCTTGGAGTCATATTAAGCAGTGATCTCAAAACCACTGGTCACTGTAAGGCTGCTGCTGTGAAAGGCTATAGGGTATTAAGGTCTATTCGTAGGTCTTTCCAGTATTTAGATGATGAAATGTTCAGATTATTATACCCGATTTATGTGCGACCACATTTAGAATATGGGATTCAAGCAGCGAGTCCTTGTTCGAAGTATGAAGCAAAGATGCTGGAAAGAGTGCAACAACGAGGTACTAAGATAGTACAAGGTCTATCTAGCCTATCTTATGATGACAAACTGAGACACCTTAACTTATTTCCGTTATCTTGCCGTAGAGTACGGGGTGATCTAATATTGGCTTACCGTATACTGAACGATGACCTTGATATTAACAGGTCTTATCTTTTACTTCCGTCCATGACTGATCATTTGAGAGGACATTCGAAGAAAGTTAAAAATCCGAGATCAAATCGTTTACGTCTGGAATTTCCTTTCTCGCATCGAGTAGTGAATTACTGGGATTCTCTGCCAAGACACGTAATACCAGCACCTTCTGTTAATATATTCAAAACGAGACTGGATCTTCACAGTATTACAAACTGCAAGGGTTAATATAGGTCGATAGACCTCCTTTCCTTATTACTCAAAACTGAAGAAGACTGAAGACTGTTTACCTAAACGTATGGCCACCGCTCCTTCAGAAAATACACTTAGGGACAAGATATTTTGTAGCCTATTACCGGACTCCAATTCAATCATATGTTGATTGCCATCGAAATATACATGTCGCCAATTCCGTACATATTTATTGACTTAACTCGAGTTAGCGAATAACGAAATTAAAATAATTCAAATACGAGGATGGAGTTTTGAATACGTATATTTTGTACAAACTTTGATAAGAATAGACGTTCAGAGAGACGAAGCGAAGAAGGCGAAGAGGAGATGCAAAGCGAAACGGATTGATGTGGAGTGGAGAAGGCGAGTAAGCCAACTTCATTTAACCGACCATGAATTGATACTTATGGTCAAACAAAAATAAGTTGCAAACATGTGATGACTAAGATAAGAAATGTACTTACATACGCTTACGTAAAAACCGCTGGGGATGATAAGCGATTAATTAACAGGATCAAAATACGGCTCCAGAAGAATAAATAAATCGGTCTGTCCAAAGGCTAGAATAACCTATGCGGGCTTGGCATAGTACCAGACCCTGCAGGTTTAAAACTCATAATTAAGAAAAGCTTTTTATTCTTTATACTTCTTTAAAATGAATATGTATTATTGAGCTAAACTGTCAAACAATATACAGTTCTCTTTTTTCTTCTTTGACTAAGTCGAGGAAAAATATTCATTTCAACTATGATCAGACTATGTATGCAGTCGACATAACCACTCGTGATCGGCAAAAGCTTTTCTCTTACCAAAAAGTCAGAGGATTCCAGTAAATCTATTGTATTATGTATAGGAAACAAGCGAAGAAACACCGACAGATTTTGTGGTTGAAATAGTTTAATAATTCTTGCTTTACCCTCGTGTAAAATTTTCACACCCTTTGTTAAACAAAGTACGCACTGTTAAGAACTTCTAGAAATAAGGCTTGGTGGATATTATTCACTGAATTGTATTTTGTTTATTAATATACGTATAGTTTGCATTTCGGTATATCTTTGTCTGAACACTCCCTATTCTTGTTAAAATAGTAGAAAAGACCATCTCTTCGCTTCAACTTTTTAACAAATCCCGTATTTGTCCACTTCTCTGGGTCAGCATTATTATAGTTCTCAAAACATTCGTAAATAATATAAAACGAAAAACTTACAAAATATTCCACTTCGTCTCTGTAACCAGCCAACTGAAACCTATATGCATTTTCGACTTCAGTAGACCAATGAGATGCACGCCGCATCCCAGTTGGCTTTATATTCTCCATCTGACTTTTTCAACAACGTTGAATTTACTGTTACTATGACAACTGTTGTTTATGTCTAGGTGTTCAGAAACTTTGTGAAAGGCTTGTATACACTTATCGCTTTGCATATACTCTTATCTTCGTTTTAAGAAGCAGTTTTGGATCTCAAACTATAAAAGTGAAGGTATTTTAGCCACTCAATTGTCCTGTCCCAAGTAAATCGCTCGAATATTTGGAAATATTGAATACTATATGAGCTTAGATGACTACCGTTCTAAGGTTTGTGCTGCGTTACGCACCCATTAGTGATCTGGTGTGATGCTTGAGCAAGTGTCTTTATTTAAGGTGTCTCCTGTCAACCTAATGATGTCCGCAACAATGTCAAAGACTTGAAGTACTATTTGATTTCAGGACTTATCTACCACCATGGATGTTCTGCTTTTTTGGTTTGCGTTTGAGTTTTAAAACGACAAGGTTGTGGAAATTCGAGACCATCTAGTAGTCAATCATTGGAACGCCTTACTCGAACAAGTGGTGTCAGCCCCATCAGTGAATACTTTCAAGGAGAAGCTGGACCTTCACTGGAAAGTAATGTGTCAGGATTAATACAGGTTTGTAGTGGCATTGGACCATAACCACACTATCCTCAAAGCTGAATACGAGATTACTCGGAAAATAGATATTCAATATTTAACGCGAAGAAATACCTAACGATGGAGAAGGCGCGAATAATGAACTGAATGAACTAGAGTTGATCGAACGGCATGGCTCGGCCATGCAGGCGTGGTCTCTGCTGAATGTTACCTTATATCTTCTATTCATATTAAATATATTGTTCTTTCTCTAGCCTAACCTTGTTCTACATCATGTATTGGTAATTGATACGATACAGTGAGTTGGTGTAGTCGATGGTGTGACTTCCACGTAAGATCTTATAGATTAGGCAGTTATATCATGACAAATCTACAAATTTAGGATTAGGTCTATTATTAGAGCAGTACTAATATCATAGTAGATCATAATTCTACATTGGTGAGCCCAACTAAAGAAACGCAACCTATTATTGCTAATCCTTATTTCCACCTTAACCTTCTCAATCGGTTTTTATTTTTGTAAACCCAGTATTCGTATAGTCCTCTGAATAATGGTCACATATATTATCGTAATGTTATATCTATGAGTTCACATAACTTACTAGCTCAATCGATAATAAAAGTTGATCACCTATATCAACTAATTAGCTTTGATGGTTCGTTAACAAGCTTTAATAGCATTTACATGCTTCAGCGACATAGACTTGTTTAAACATCAAGCTCTAGCAAATATGACCTGTAAATAGCGTAAATATACATTGACTAACAATGCAATCAAGGACTAAATAGTTATCTGGATCTAATTCTTAGTGTTTCTTCGCTTAACACCTCATCCTGTTTTAAACTATGCACTATCCTTTTCTTCCGACCACTGCCTGCCTAATTTCATATTCTCGAGTTCCATTGCCAAACAACAAGGATGACACTTCTCTAAAAACATACGGTGAGTTTCAGCCATAAGTTTCCTGCAATCATAAGGTCATTTTAGATGGCTCGTTCAATGGCTGACACAATTATCTGGATTCATTCGATTGTTTTGATCTGAGCGAGTGGCAACAGCATCAAGCACCCTGGAATTAATTGCCATACTGCATGTTTTATTGTGTATACTTTTGGATCATTACTCCTCACGAATGGCGTTATATATGTCCACTGAATAATCTAATTTTCAAAAATAATCCAGGCGAGTTCAACTATTTTACTGGATGATTTTTCTGTACTTAACATGTATATGTTTTCCAGTTGTGTTTGCCACATATTTATAATTATCTTTAGGCTAAATGCAGTAACTTCTTATAACGCATCATATTCCTGCCTGAAGTTTCACAACCAGTCTAAACTTTAAAATTACTTGTCTGGTCATGTTCATTATTTTTAAATCGTCATATACGTCAACAACCTGCATATTAACCTGGTTCATACATACGTTACACTATATCTCCATGTCTTCTAAATTTAGAAATCATCTGGATCGCCTCTAACATTTATTAATAAACCCATCATAGTCGTTGTTGCTAATCGTATTTGGATTTATGGATTGGTTTATCATATTAGCAGTCTAAAATGCAAACATAATTTAGATAATAAGATTAAAAATTTAGGTACTATCAACTGCACTAGTAAAATTACTAAATCCTCAGGTAGTTGTTGGTTGAACAAACTTTTAAAATCAAAACTCCGTAGCCTACTAGAATTAACATTAAACAAATATTTCTGAATTGAAATTTATAATTAAATTAGGCGTCTCGGATTCTTTAACGTTATAAATTTCTGATAATTTTGAATCACCTAAAGCAACAATGCCTATTTTTCCACTGGCCAATCTTCAATCAACACTATAACTAATTAAGCATAATAGTTTCAGGATATCTTCATAAAGCATTGTCATGACTTGACAATCACGTAATATGATTGATAAAATTAATGAAACTATTAACAAAATAGGTCAGCAAATTGACTTATGATTATAACTAGTGTTGTTTTTCTTTTATCTTCATTCATTACAGGTGATTACAGTATGTTTCTCTATCAGTTGCTCATTCAGTAAATATCTCAAAACCTTGTCAGTCTAATTGATGGTTTAGCGACACAATCATGCATGCGAATAATCAGTATAAGCAGTCGAGCAAATCTCCTGCAAACTGAAAACATTAATGTCGAATTTACCCCAACACTGACTAAGGTTCAAGCTATTATCATAGGCATGAGTTGGGAGTGTACTCCCCTTGGTTACAACTTATGTTCTCCCTGATAATCACATGAGCATCACTCACTATTAATCATCTTGTAAAAAATTATTTAGCCAAATACACCTTGCAGCACCACATCACTTAGTAATATGACACATAGGTTTAACTAATTTCAATAACGTATAACCACTATATCTTAATTAAATCGTATTCCGCCTTATGATAAACTGCATACTTTCAACTAACTTGTATACTCAATCAGCCGGCAAGTATATATATAAATAAATAGTCTGCCGCAGATCAGAACATTGAGTCTAGAGCATGTCTCTTACGAATACACTCATGTTTAACGATTTGTTTCTAGCTATCTGTCCAAAATTCACATAATTATCACTCACGTATTTAATTTTTGTTTTGATAACCATTCATGTGTATTAGTAGTATTACTAAATTCTATCACGGTCAGGTAAACATGGGGTTGAGAAAATCTCCCCTAAACTAAATAAACCGTATCAAACTAACTGGAACACTAATTGGAATTCTTCTCCACGGTAATACTTTTGTTCCTTCAGTTAGCCTACTAATACAGATGCAATTGGAAATCGACTCATATGGACAACTTACCGGCATAATCGTTATTTGATTTCATAAGTCAGACTAAAAGTAGTACTAATATTAACATTTCTACAATATTCATAACTTTAATATTTCTAAACACAAAATACTTACTACCTATACGTTAAGTTATCAACCAACGGCTATTACACACGCATCGTTTTATTATTATTATTATTATTATTATTGTAATTCCATTTTTTTATAGCTCAAATAATCACTCAAATTTTCATTGTAAGCGTGTTAAGCATGAAGGCAGATATTTTAAAATTATTACATGTATTTCCCGACCAGATGCTGCCGTCTTCTTTTTGATTTATCTTTCAGCTTGTCATCACCCGGAGGATTCTTACTACTCTTGGTAACCTTCGGCACACTACAGTCCCATCCAATTGGGTATCGAACCAACACCACGTTGATTCTGGTGGGAGAGTAGTGTAGTGGCATTGGACCATAACCACACTATCCTCAAAGCTGAATACGAGATTACTCGGAAAATAGATATTCAATATTTAACGCGAAGAAATACCTAACGATGGAGAAGGCGCGAATAATGAACTGAATGAACTAGAGTTGATCGAACGGCATGGCTCGGCCATGCAGGCGTGGTCTCTGCTGAATGTTACCTTATATCTTCTATTCATATTAAATATATTGTTCTTTCTCTAGCCTAACCTTGTTCTACATCATGTATTGGTAATTGATACGATACAGTGAGTTGGTGTAGTCGATGGTGTGACTTCCACGTAAGATCTTATAGATTAGGCAGTTATATCATGACAAATCTACAAATTTAGGATTAGGTCTATTATTAGAGCAGTACTAATATCATAGTAGATCATAATTCTACAGGTTCACCAACCTAATACCCTTATTACTGAAGACTGTATCTTTCGATTGTTTGTAATGAGATTCTAAAACTAGAGTATAAAGCAATGGTAGGAAGACAATGATTATCAGTAACTCTGTCAACATGGTGAAATAACATCTTATAAGTGTCCACCAAAATAAGCTAATAGATGAAAATCATGAAATTCACTATAGGCTGGAATGCTTTAATAACAAAAAATGTTAAGTTTGTCATAAGATATAGTGAAGATCAGACCAAAGACTACCTGTTCTGCTGAATAAAATTTTCAACTGCTTGTAATTCCCGTGAAACGTTACGGCCCTTCCCAAGCCATCCAGTAGTGTGGTCGCTAAATATAGAACAATTTGACGGTTCATGTTAGGGTCAATGACAACCAACGCCCATCAATCAATTGATTGCCATGGACTGTCTCGTGCAGCAGTGGTCGCACATTTTTTGTAACTTTTCTTATCAGTATATTTCTGTGACAATATTGTTCGTGTTGTAAGATCATCAAAGTAGCCATAGTACCTGGGTGTGATGAAAGGGCAGTCTGATTTAAGTATTAGGCGTAAGGTGTGAATTTGACGCAAGTTGACTGATCCCGTCCTACTGAAGTAGACCACCAATCTTCTACTAAGATAGCCTATGTTAGCTTAATACACGGTCTTGTAGACGACTCAGAGTAATCCAGCTTACGTACTTTAATTTTCTAACATTTACGAAATTATCTACCAAAGGGTTGTAATCTCATCAGTTGACCAGGATACCGAAGGAGGACAGATTGATAATGAGAAAAAAACGAGATACTATTTGTATGT